ACCCTCCCGTTCTACCTTACCGCGACTGGATGCGTGGTGCCGAAGGGTCGGAGCCTCGAAGGTGGACGAGTTGCTGCTGAAGAAGGCTGGGGCTGGTAGCGGGGAACGAAGATCTCCGGCCCGGACGGTACATTTCGTTGGAAGAAGGCCGTGGGAAGAAGGATGAAGCCCCAAAGGGCGCCGCGGAGGCCCGAGGTGGCGATAAAGGGGGAGGGGCAAGTGCCGGTTGGCTGCGTCGGTGCCCCGATGCACCGGAAAGGCGACGAAGAGGAGAGAAGTCCGCTGGGAGTCCACTCGGCCGCCGTTCGAGCCTCCGCCCAAGATCAAAAACATCATCACCACGAACATCACGCGTCGACGGTGGTGTGGCCGCGTCCTCTCCAAAAGGCGTCATCAGGAGGCGCGATCCACACGCGAGCTCGCAGCTCGCGTGTGGCAGATCCAGGATCCCGTTGTCAGGATTGCCAGCTTGGCAAGACGAACCACTGCGAGCTTGTGAGCTAGGGTAGATTGCTGTGTAACGGAGAGAGAGAGGTGGAGAGAGGAGAAGACAAGGAAAGACAAGGAAAGCATTCTGAGGAGACACGATCTTATCAGCCATCACCGAAGTGAGATCTGTGTTGACCACCCTTCATGATGCCATACATGGACAGAAACAACTTTGACTGCCTGACCAGTCCATCGGTCTTATGAAAGTAAAAGCACTCTTACTCTGGGACTTACCGCCCAGCAGATCCTCTATTCAGCTAACTACAGGAAAGGTCCTCACCGGCCTTTTCGCACATGGGCGCAGCAACTTGGTTCTTGCTTATCTGAGCCGAAGTCTTCGCCAGCTGACTGACAGATCCTAACAGGTCTATCAGTGTCTTGCGCAGTATCAGCAGCAGTCAACTACTAGCAGTATCTGAAGAAAGACAATAACTACATCAACAAAGCAGACAGCAGAGATGACACTCAATCTCGAGACAAAGGCCACCTTCCCCTTTACTACCGGCAGGAGTGGCGAGAACGACATCAAGTGGCGTGAATGGGACTTTACTCTCAGAGCCTACTTAGCAGCAAGAGAGATGGATGTGAAAGTCTATCTACCTACTAAGGATGAGGACGTCCCGCCGATGAAGATAGCGGTGCCACAGATGGATGGCAATAATCAGCCCGTGGTGAACCAGCAGGGACAGCCAATCCTGATTGAGCAGGAGAGCTCCAACGCCAAGAACCTCCGATGGCTGTTCGGCTTCCTCGCCCTGCAGACAGCAGACAAGGCCAAGCGACTGATTCAAGAAGCATACCAGAAGCACGGCGAGAATGGTGCATGGGCGTATCTAGAACTGCGGAAGCGGTTCATACCTGATCGTATCGTATGCAAGCACGAGCTCTTGCAGCGATTCTTCAGCTGGAAGATGATCAAGGACGATCTCGACGACGCCCTTGGCGACTTCAGCTATCTCGTCAGCCGCCTTCATGAAGTCGGATCAACAGTGCCAGACGAGACGATGATCGCCGTCATGCTATCGGCATTGCCTGAGAGATTCGACATGTTCAAGGCAACCATGGCGCATGAGTCAGCATCCCGCGCGTATCGTGGAGAAGCACTGACGTGGCCGCAATTTGAAGAAGCTCTTCGTAACGCGAATGACCGCATGAAACAGCTGCGAAGAGAGCAACGAGACCGTCAACATCAGCAGAGGGGCCGTCCATCCGGAAGACAACATGACCGTCAAGACCAGCGTAGTCAGCATGAT